GTGGCCCCCGGGGCGCAGGGTGCCCCCCACTCACTCTTCATGTAGTCCAGGTCAGCCGAAGCCAGAGTCTGGGCCTCTGACTCGTCTGTTGGCATCTTCTGGTACCGGGCCTGCTCCGCGCCCGTCATGCTGCCGATCCGCCGCCGCTCGTGCAGGTTGTAGCTGCGGTGCCCCGGCTGCGACTTGGGAATGGGACGACCTGGGGAGCCGGCCTCGGCGGCGGCCGCTCCCTCCTCCACCGAATCTCCTTCCTCCACATCGGGGCTGCGAGGCAGGTGCCCGCCTCAGAGCTGAGCTCCAGCCCTGCTGTGGGGCAGCTGGAGGGGGCTGCCCACCCCCCAGGACCCCCAGCCCTGTCCAAGTTCTGGGTGAGCCCCAGCACTGCCGGGCCCCAGCCACCCACTCACCTGGCTGCCCGGGCTTCCCTGGGGGACGTGGACCCACAGGGCTCCGGTGGGGAGCCGGGCAGTGCCGTGGGTGCCGCCGGCTCCTCTGCCCGGCGGTCAGTCACCTCGTCCTCCTGCAGGAAGAACTGAGACAGGGCATGGTAGGAACCAGCTGCTGTGGAGCTGTGTCCCCCGGCCGCAGGTGCCACCGGCTCATCTCCAGCTCCGGCGCCCCAGCCACTCGTCCCAAGAGCCCCCAGAGCCGGGGGACACAGTGCTGCCCCCCGCACCCAGCCCTCCCCTCACCTGCACCGCCTCAGGCTGGCCGGGCTGCAGGAGCTCCTCTGCTGACCGCTCCATCTCTGTGTCACACGCCTCGTCCTCATCCTCTTCAGCCTCCTCGATGGTGGGGGTCTCGCCAGGGACAGAGGCACGGCGGTGCTTCTTCTTGGCCTTTTTCGCCACCCCCTTCTTGCGGCGGGTGTCGGGGGGCAGGTGCGTGGAGAGCGGGTGGTGGATGTGGTGGGACGACTGGCGGTGGTCTGCAGGGGACGGGGTGGGGTTGGTGCCCTGCCTGCTGCCTGCCCGCTGCTTGCCCGCTGCCCCCCAGACCCCACTCACACTCGAAGTCCTCCTCGCCATAGCTGCGCCCGGCCTCCTCCGCGTTGCGAGGGTGCGCGTCGCACAGGATCTCCTCAAAGCGCTCCACGCCCAGCGCCTTGTTCAGGTCCTTCTCCTCCTCCTCCTCCTCGAACACAGGTGAGCCGGCGCCCAGCGCGTCCTGCTCAGGCTGTGGGCCGGCAGCGGGGCTGAGCAGGCACCCGGCACCACTGGCACCACCATCCGCCAGGTCACCGGCCCCCAGCACGCCCCGGTCACGTAGCCCCACACAATGGGCGCCCCAGACGGCAGCTCTCTGGGGTCCCCAAAGGCCCTGCACCCAAAGGACATGCCCGCCGGTGCACCGTGGGCCGTGCACCCACCACACCATTTGCACCCAGCGCACCCCACGCCGCGCTACACTCCAGTGCTGCGCTCCCCCCGCATGTACCCCAGCACCCCGGTGCCCTGCTCCCCAGCGCAGCCCTGACCTGGCAACCCCAGTGCTGCACCCTGGTGCTGTGCACCCCTGTGTATCCCCAGCACCCCTATTGCCGTGCCCCGGTGCCATGCACCCCTGTGTACCCCCAGCACCCCTATTGCCGTGCCCAGGTGCCGTGCACCCCTGTGTACCCCCAGCACCCCTATTGCCATGCCCCGGCACCATGCACCCCTGTGTACCCCCAGCACCCCCACTGCCATGCCCTGGTGCTGTGCCCCCAC